TTTTCTCATAACTTGGTAATAATAATACTAGTAGTAACGATGATGAATAAAGAGCCGCAGCGAGAGTCGCACTTTTCAATTAATCTAGAGTGCACATCTCACCCCTGTTTTCGTTACGTGTGCATAGTAAAACGTGCATACAATATGTACACACGTTCGTTATACGTTAACATCCGGCAGAAATTCCCGTATCTAAGCATAATATATACGTAATATACAGACGCGCGACGACTGTATAGGATGCGAGTGTTTTATTCATCATGATACCGCGGGAAAAAACGTGCATACAGTGAACCAGGTGAACTGATTTGAAATAAATAAAACAAAAAACAGCGTCTCTTGGTCAATTAAATTTAAATTTAAATCCCTGCATGCACCTGTACATTATAAAAGGGATTTTTTGGCCTCACAACCTCACTGTCAGCGCCAAATCAAACACTCATAATCAACGGCCCGGACGAAAAGTAACCTGATTCATTTTTTCCCGTTAAACATTGAAACATCTGAATCAAGTTAATTTTCGTGGACACATGGAGTGCACGCATTGCAGAACACGGAGCCATTTAACCGTAGGATATGAGAGTGGGAGGTGTTTTATTTTTTCCCGTGTTCGCCCATCTCTCTCACTTCTTATCGCGGACACAAGTCGGATTTTTTACGCGCAGATGGCGCCAGCTGTCGGACCCGAGGCCCACGCGGGAAATTCAAAGTATAGCCGTACGAACGAGACTTAATTGACTTGTTGGCGTGAACTTTCGACTATCGGGGGGTAATTAGTTTCGAGGTCCTTTTAACATTAAAAAAATAAAAAATAAAAACTATCTTACGATTAAGTTACAACAGAGGGGCTGTCCGAGGAGTTTGGAAATGCGGTCCAAATGACGGGCTCGGAAACTCGATTAACGCGTCTGCGAACTCGTTTGCGCGCCAATATAACTTTTTCCTCGGGCGCTCGGGGCTTCCTCTCAAACAATCCTCCCCCAAGACACGGAATTGAAACCGGATTTCGCTGAATCCTTAGTTAGCGCGTGAGGGGGCGGGGGGGGAGGGGGGGGTGGAATTTCGCGAAGGTTCATCGAAAAAACTTTTAATTGCTGTTCATCGCCAAAAAAGTACGAAATTCGTCGTTGTCGGGTGTATCATAATGGGGTTGGCCAATTGTGCCGAGTCAGGTTTTTATAAAGTTTATCCCGATGCGATCCGGACCCACGCGTATACATATATGTGTACAGTGGCGGTAGATATAGTATACATAGCCCCAAAGTTGCAAGGTCGACACAAAAATTGCACGCGTGTACCTACGTTCGGGTGGAAAGTTTCGATGCTTATGATACGCTCATCCACTTTCATGTTTGGTACTGTAATTTTGTTACAGGAAAATGTTGTAAAATTTTATTTCGAACTTGGTGGAGATTGTGGATTTCGCCTATAGTTTCTTTAAAATATATGTACCTGTATAGTGCAAAAAAAAAAAAAAAAAAAAGATTCAATGAAAATCTTTAACCATACTATATGAGGTGCGAAATCGGCACTTATAAATTGCCTAATCGTAATGTGTGCTCTAACTAACGACACCCGAATGTTATTTTCAAAAGACTGAGTTATTTTTTTATGCACTTATTTCCAAACTAGGAAAATGACAAGTCACGTGTACGCAAGAGATCCTTCTTGGGTATAGGATCATTCGAGCGCGACCACGAGCGATTACGTATATGTAAAAGTATTGGCGTACAAAGCCACTGAGCACCATTTTTCTCAAAGGTAGGTGTACGTAAGTACCAAATTTTTAGTAATCAGGAAATTGTTAAAAATACAAAACCATCAGCTCATCAAAATTTTAAACTTTTGGCGTAACTCGTAATCCCGTTTTATACCCATTTGAACCACCAAAAATTTAAAATAGGAATTAAAAAGTACTTGAAAAGAGGAAGAAAATGTAATGTTATCTTATTTTTTTATTAATTTTTTTTTTTTTTTTCTCATAACTTGGTAATAATAATACTAGTAGTAACGATGATGAATAAAGAGCCGCAGCGAGAGTCGCACTTTTCAATTAATCTAGAGTGCACATCTCACCCCTGTTTTCGTTACGTGTGCATAGTAAAACGTGCATACAATATGTACACACGTTCGTTATACGTTAACATCCGGCAGAAATTCCCGTATCTAAGCATAATATATACGTAATATACAGACGCGCGACGACTGTATAGGATGCGAGTGTTTTATTCATCATGATACCGCGGGAAAAAACGTGCATACAGTGAACCAGGTGAACTGATTTGAAATAAATAAAACAAAAAACAGCGTCTCTTGGTCAATTAAATTTAAATTTAAATCCCTGCATGCACCTGTACATTATAAAAGGGATTTTTTGGCCTCACAACCTCACTGTCAGCGCCAAATCAAACACTCATAATCAACGGCCCGGACGAAAAGTAACCTGATTCATTTTTTCCCGTTAAACATTGAAACATCTGAATCAAGTTAATTTTCGTGGACACATGGAGTGCACGCATTGCAGAACACGGAGCCATTTAACCGTAGGATATGAGAGTGGGAGGTGTTTTATTTTTTCCCGTGTTCGCCCATCTCTCTCACTTCTTATCGCGGACACAAGTCGGATTTTTTACGCGCAGATGGCGCCAGCTGTCGGACCCGAGGCCCACGCGGGAAATTCAAAGTATAGCCGTACGAACGAGACTTAATTGACTTGTTGGCGTGAACTTTCGACTATCGGGGGGTAATTAGTTTCGAGGTCCTTTTAACATTAAAAAAATAAAAAATAAAAACTATCTTACGATTAAGTTACAACAGAGGGGCTGTCCGAGGAGTTTGGAAATGCGGTCCAAATGACGGGCTCGGAAACTCGATTAACGCGTCTGCGAACTCGTTTGCGCGCCAATATAACTTTTTCCTCGGGCGCTCGGGGCTTCCTCTCAAACAATCCTCCCCCAAGACACGGAATTGAAACCGGATTTCGCTGAATCCTTAGTTAGCGCGTGAGGGGGCGGGGGGGGAGGGGGGGG